GCTCTGCATCTTGCCTGTGACACGTGAATTGGAAGCTGCCTAGTCCACACCTAGCTCCAAGCAAACTGTCCATAACTCAGAATCTGCCTATGCCCCTAGACTTTCTCAAGAAAGAATCGAGGCCCCAACATCCCCATCGCTGAATACCAGTCGGTTGCCAGCATCTTCAAGCTTGCCCTTCCGAATCCAATCCATCAATTGCTGCCAATCAAATTACCCAATACAAAGGCGGCGGGTGCAACCAACGCATGTGGATGTTAATTGTCTGTCACTTCACATGTGTCTGTGTGTGGGTGTGCTGCATATGCTTGTAATCATAATGCATACTGATACTTATATATACATTTGCACAAGGATGTGCCTGATTGTGCCTGTCCCTTTTCGCGCTTTCCTCTTTCTGCCTCTTCCTCTCTTTCTCTCTGCCTCTCTCATTCTCTTTATTTCTCTTTTCTGTCTCTTTCTCCCTCACCCTCTGTCTCAGTCTCATTCTCTTTCTTCCTCTCTCTTCCCGCGCTCACTCCCTCTCTCTGTTTTTTTTTCTCTCTGTGTCTCTCTGTGTACGTCTCTCTCTCTCTCTCTCTATTTCTCTTTCTCTCTCAGGGTCTGATTGGCTGGCTGCCTGGCTGTCTGCCTGTCACCTCTTTGCAAGCATGCGCGATGCAAATATGGGACGCGTGATGCGCCCATGTTTCTTTCAAGCAACCTGGAAGATCTCCCCATCCAATTCCATGTCAAACCTGCAATGGTCGCACACTTACCACTCAAATATGTGTTCTGCAAGCGGCCAAAAATAGGTGACCCACGCAATGTCGCTAGTGGCATTGATGTGGGTCACCAAACCGCTCTGCCAACAAATCGCCTGGAGCAGTGAGAGCAGGAATAAGAGCTCCAGTCGAAATGATCGACTGAATGGCCAAAATCCACACAAGGACACGAAGGCCACGGCGCACATTCGTTTCCAACACAGCACAAGGGGGTATATAGAGTACACACGACCATGTGCCCATCAAGCTCACAGCCAGCTCAGAAGGTGCTGAGTTCGGGGCTCCGTCACCCAACTTCAAGGAGCCTGACCTGCGTTCATTGATGCGGGTATGGCAGTGACGGTGCTGTGCTGGTGTCCAGACAGCTGAGACAAAGAGCTGAGCTTCTGGCGAATAGGTCCAAAGACCATCAAAGGCGAAAGTTTCGGGACATTTTGAACTATCTGTGCACCAGCAATGACTGCAGAAGTACCTGGCAAGTGCCAAATCTCAGGGATCCTGAGAATTCACCTTGATTCTCAGCTATATAACATATTCAAGGAGAAGGGCACTGCTCCGCATCAAAGCGAGAACGAGTAGCAGCATACTTCTTGCACCTCAAGAAAGCTACGCAAAGGCTAACAAAAATAGCCTCAAAAAATATCAAACAATGACCTTTTGCAAAACATTTGATCTGTGAGGATCCGACAATTCTTCGAGCCTCACGACAAGCCGAAGCCAACGTCTTTACTTGGGCTTGGCTTGGAACACTTCGGCTAGTCGGCTAGTTATGTGATTGAGTCCGCCAAAAGCACGCACAAGTAGAAATCAACAGTCTCCTGAGTCTCGGGCTTGTATTTGTGGCCATCCTGGGGGTCCATCCGCAGCTCTTTGTGCCAGTCCTGCGCTTGGATTGAAATACATCGAAAGAATGACTATGGCTGTCTTCAAGCGGTGTTCTACCAACGGTCCTCCTCCACAGGTGCAGACAGTCCTCTAGCATGAAACCAGAAACTAGGATTCATGGCCAACTCACTTGAGAAAGTCCTGCATCGAAACGCTCGCACAAATCCATCACCTGCTTTTCTGCCACAGCTGCCCATCGACGCCAATCGGCCGACCCGTCCTGAGGAAAGCTGCAGCCTTCATCTTTCGATTCAACTTGACAATAATGTGAGGAAGATCGTGTCTGGATAAGTGGCTCCCACATCTCTGCTAGAAAGGGGCTTGTCCGCGTTGTCCATCTTGGCCAAACAAGCTGTAGATGTTCTAAGTCCCCAGCATACCCAAAGGCACCTTCCCAGGCAAGTTGCCAAAAGCACTAGCTTCACTAGTTGCGAATCTACAACATAAGAAATGCGATTAGATTGTGAACATCAGTTATATAACTAACAGCTAAAATATGTGTACCTGTAAAACATGTAACACATGTTCGTTGTAGATTGGGTCGCACCTCTGAGCTCAGCAACTGGAGCGTCAATGTCCGCAGCTTCTTCCAATGTGAACTTGGCTGCTTGCCTGTGGCTCTCAAATGTCTCTCTCAAAATGGCAGTAGATAGTGTAGATTTAGATATACAGTATGATTCATCGACTCAATACATCTGAATTCTGAACTTAACACTCAAGACACCTGTAGGCTTCGATTGCTTGCCGCCACCATTGAGTGGGAGCTGGTGGCAATGCGGAAGCGGGCTCCTTCAGCAGAGCATCTCACAATGCTTTACTCACTGAGCTTTGGGCTGCGACCTGGCGTCGAAGCCCCCGCTGTGAAAGCACGTCCGCCAGCTTCGGCGCATTGAAAAGGAGGTCCTGCCATCAGGATCAGCGAAGTTGGAAGATAGAGCTTACGCTTAGGCCGACTATGCGGAGATAGCAATCACAAGTCGCTCAGTATCTTTCTCCGCTGAGCGAAGATGCAACTAGGGGTTGATGTGCCCACCGCCAGCCGAGTTTAGACAGTAACCCGCAAGCCCCACAAGTGGGCAGTGCTGATGATTGGCATCAAGAACCAGGACTCTTGGCACTCAGGTCACCAACATGGCAAATGCCTCGCTGGATTTCATGTCCATCAGTCCATTAGGTCTACTTCTTGGCACTCAGGAGTGATGAAAGAGCTCCCTTTCCTTCTGGACTTGACTTTGGGCCTCTCAAGATTGTACTTACCGGAAAATGCGCATCGTTTGAAAGAAATGCTAATGATTACAGAGTTCCAGCCACCTGGACGCTGAGGAGAACTTGGCACACCACTTGCACCAGCTCCGTTCCCTCTCTCTACACTGTCCTAGGCAACAGCGATAGGGTGGGTGAAAGGATCCGCTAATGTCGTATGATTCCGTGTGACTGAAAAGGATCCTTGTCTCGTATGACTGCTATGTGCAACCAAGGTGCCAGGCTACTGTGTGTCCTCCTTGGTTTTGGCAGTGACATTTTTTGCAATCAGAGGGGCACCATTTCAAGTAGCGCAGCATCACCCCATGAAAGCACGACTTTCAAGGCTTGGATGGGAGGTGTAAACTGTTGTAAACTGCAAGAGCATGGTGCACACCAGAAACTGCACAGAAAACTGGAAACGCAAGAGACTTAAAAGGTCATCTTCAAGTGGCTTCTGTGCCCAGGCCTTAGCTGGGTCAGAAGTGTGCCGCTTCTTGGTGGGAGATGTGTCCGTGATGATGATGTAGCCCGAGTGCTCCCTCTGAAATTGACCCTGGCAACTTCATCTCAAGAAATGTCAACTGGAGGCTGGAGGCCATGTTTGTTGGTAAGGCCGCAAACGCATTTCAATAAGGTTGCGCGTAATTAATTGACAGATTGAACAAGTATTGATGCAAGCGTTTCATGCCCTCTCTCTCAAATAAGAAGGAAAGACCCAAATGCACAAAGCCTCTCAACCACCCAAGCCTTGCATAGCCAGCGTGCAACTGCTGCAAGGCCCAAAACAGCAAAGATCAGAAAGGTTGCATCGGACTCAGCCTTCTCACTCTCCTCCAGACGCTGGCAAAACAACGGGTACGCTATCTCAATCAGTTGTATATACACTTACTCGTGATGAACTGACGGTGAATATGGACGTGGGCAAAGGCAAAAGCAATCACCTCCTCTTCTTCCTGCTTCTTGTCCGCATGCCTTGTGCCCCCACCACAAAACCTATTTGAATGTGCAAGTGGAGTTATGCGCAGACCGCAGGTCAGCAACAGCAAACCGACGGCAGCAAATTCTTGACTGACAGCACACTGCTAAATTTTCGGGAGCTCCGTCTGATTTTGTCAGAAATAGCTGGGCCATGCAATGCAGCTGGGCTTCACAGAGGGTAACAACTGCCAATGGGTTGAAGCTCAACAACCCAAACAACTCACCAAAACAAAGCAAACCAAGGGGAATTTGATCATCGGGGTGGAAGAAAGTGAAGAATCTAATCGAATCCAACCTTAGAAGCTTAGAGACCCCCATGTTAAAGGAAAGCACACTGGACCCATTTCGATACCAGTTCTGCTAAAGCAAACTGAGATCAGGTAGCTGAGGCTACCTTTCGTAAAGCACACCAGGCGGCTCTTTGATCCTTTCCTCTACTTCTCGGGCGATTTGAGCTTTCTCTTCCTCCCATTTCTTTATCTGCTTTTCCTGAAAACGGAAAGCGTCTCTTTGGCTCTTGGAAAACGCACATGTCTTGCACTTGATGGACAGGGATCCAAATACATGGAACAGTTGCAGTCCTCGGACATCTCAGTGGTCGACGGGGGTGACGATTCATCCTTATCACAAACACAAAACCAACTCCACAGAATCTCAGTAATCTTGTGTGTGGTGTGGTGCCTGGGCCTATCTGTTACACTAATCTACGCAATTGCAAACAAGCCACACCATGCACTTGCGAGCCGGTCGCGGTTTTCACGTCGGACTCCAGCAATGCCGCTGGTTCATTCAAAGGCCTTAGTGCATACATCAATGGTAACATTGACTGTGAAGAAGCATGTGTTTTAAAAAGTTTAAAGTTTAAACACATCACAGCGGGTCAAGGCCTCGGTTGCTCAGCCTCCGCTTGGGACAAAGCCAAATCACGAATAGGAGAAAAAGCTGGTGAAGTGACTTGAAGTCAGGATCACCGCTGTTGTGACCAACAATCTCTTCCTTGCCTCTTTCGCCGCCGCATAACACAAGGCAGCAAGTGCCCACAGCCAGCGCATGGCCTGCATGTGTTGGAAGCAAATAGCATGTTGACACATCAAAAAGAAAGCTCCCCGGTCCCCGGTGTTCCCTTCTCACCCTTTCCTGTGGCTTCACGGTTGCGGATTGCGAACTTCCTGCTGACGAGTGATTGTGCCTCCATCGGGCTCAATGCCCAGGACAGCACATACCTCATCATTTAATGAGGTTATCACATCGTTCGATTGGTGAGACAGTGGCCCGTTCTCTCGACTGCTTCCTGGCGCAGCAGGTTCATCAGCTCTGACTACAGTGACAACTGGCTTTTTGCCGTCTTTTAGTTCTTTTCGTTCCTTCTGGATTTCGCGAACGATGGTTTTGAGTACATGGTGCAAGTGCACATTTTCCTGACGTTGCACCAGCTCCTTCTCATGCGCAGCCCTCTGCTTTGCCGCATTGTATGCGTGTTGCCTTTCCTGCTCACGGCTGCACAGCCTCTTTTGCTCTTGTTGGAACAGCCTTCGGGCCCGTAGCTGCCCAGACCGCTTCGTCCACTTATCTTTGCGATGTTCAACCCTCTCCTTTGTTTGAGCACGCTGGGTCTGCCAGTGCTTTTGCATATCTGCCTTATTGCATGCTCGATCCAAAGCTTCTTGACTGAGAATAAAGTCAAAGTGAGATTCATATTTTGCCCTGCGTGCTCTGCGCTCTTCCCGCTGCTCCTTAGCTGCTTCCTTTCGCAGGTGCTGCTCAAAGCGCAATTTCCGTTGTTCTTCTGCAAGTCGGTCGGTCACGAGCACAGCCCGGGTATCATCGAAGACCCGGCGCCGTTCCCGCCGATGTAGTTCATGGACTATCGCAAATTCCCGCTTGCGGTGCTGCATTTCAAAATGTTCTCGGCGAACATGTTCACGTTGCAGCTGTTCTGATTCCTCACGGCGAGCTTTCTGCGCCGCAGCAAACTCGGCATCCTGAATCTCTTCATGCGTCCTATAGTAGTTGGCAAGCATGTCTTCAAAAGCTTTCCCAAGGGGCAGCGAAGGAGCGGTTCTCGACCGCTCTGTCTGCGCTAACGAAGACTCTGCGCCAGGACGCGGGGTAACATTGGAAGAGAGCCCATCCCCATCTGAGGTGTCTGACCATGGGCTATGGTTATGCATGTGAAAGGGTGACCCGTCACGGGTGCTGTCCATTGAGGTCGGACGCACACTTTGCAATTTCCACTGCGCAGAACGAATCTGCCGTGCTTCATGCACCACAGCCTGCTTCGTCGTCAGTGACTCCTGCGAACCGGGCAAGTCTACGGATAAAGCTTGCACATCACACACGGGCAGGCTTCCAAACGTGGTGTGAACAGCCCGAATTTCTTACTGACTGGCTCGCTGCCTGGCCAGGTCAAGGCTAGGTACTTGAGGGGTGACATAAGCATTCTGAAAACCATTGAGCTGTAGGATTCCAAAGAGCTCACAACCTACTGCAACTTTAGTAGCTACATTGTTGGCGTCGGTGATGTTATGTTGAAATTGTTTCTCAGTTTTTCTTGCCTGCGTGTCTGCCCCTGTTTTTCTGTTGTTGATGCTGCGTGTTCCAACCTCCACGACCTGGAAACACAGAAGGAACTTCGAAGACTGGAAGCATGCTCAAGCATCTGTTGCTTTTTTGTTGGCATGCTGTGAAGTCCAGTTTGTGCGGCATCTGGCGTGCCTCCTAGAGCTTCAAATTGGATGCAAAAAGGAACGACTGCAAAGATGTTTTTCGCAGTAGCTGTGTTCACGTTTGATGTTTTTCTTAAAACTGCTTCTAGGCTGGAGAGGACTGAAATGTACAAAATGCAAAGTCACGCAAAACTCGGGCTGCAAAGGAAAGGCGAATGAACCGTAGATTTGTTCACATCATCGGTGGCTGGATCGCAGTTTCTGGGCAACCAGAGCCTGACGATTCTTGGCAATGAGCTCGTTTGCTGCACGGCGCTCACTGAGAACTATCGCTGCAGCGCCAGCGGCATCGTTGCGGCGCAACTCTGTGACTGGAGGGATGGCACCCGAGAGCTGCAAGTCGAGAGAACACGCACCAACCACAGCATCCTCCATGAATTGCAAAGGGTTGACCTTGGAAAGCTTTGCAAAAAGCATCAGGGAACACAAAAACTCTTACCATCGAGATTTGTAGCAATGATTTGAACATTCTTAATCAACGCAGCCAAAACCACCTCGGCAAGTGCCCTGGTGAACTTCTCGAATTGTTCTCTGCGCCGATGATCCATTCTTTGACGGATGTCCGCATCGGCCATGGCTGCCACTGCCAACTGGCTCAAATCTCTAAGGCTGCAACCACTATACAACGAAGGCCTCCTGAGTTTTCAAAGGCCTTCAGTCGGTTTTGAGCCAATCTCGCACGTCTCATGGTTTTACGTTCACCCTGGAAGCAAACTGAATCACAAGTTCTAGCAGGTGACATCCCCAAATGAACAGCATGCTCTCCACCAACGGCCCTTGGCAATATTGGCCCTCCCGCCTGCCCCTGCACGTCACATGCAACCTCTTCCAAGGACCCACAGGGTCTACATCACTAGTGTTTGAGCCCAGGCCTGCATAATGCATGTCTCGAAAAGCATTCGGCCGCCACTCAGCGGCATATTCGATAACAGCCCGGCAAATGCCATGCGTATAAGTTCCCAAGTCCTCCACACGGCAAATGGCCACCTCGAAATGCCAAATGATAGAGTGAACCTATTATATAAAGAAACATGACGAAAAAAGGGTGGACTTGGGGCGGTAGGGCCTCATGAAAGGAGCTTTTCATCTCTTTGAGTCTGGACTATCTTTTACATTTTATATACTCAACTAAGATCCTGTTTATTTCTTTTTACATCTTTTTACTTTGATTTTCCAAAAGCTTCCTCCAAGCTTCCTCAGGGCCCAACATGACAATAGGCAGGCGCCTCAAAATCGGACCCCGCCGCTGCTTCTATGAGAATGCGACGACTTGTCACAGTATGTTTACGGAATTTTACGGATATGTGTAGACATGACTATACACATGCACTTACACATACGACACATGTGTAAACTTCTCAAAGACACAGCAGCCGCTTTTGCCAAATCTTGAGCAAACCAGGACCAGAGTGACCTCAGCACAAGGACTCTGCCACATCTTTCGGGCCACTTAGGATCGTTCCAGGCCAGGAGTTGTCAGGCGCCAACATTAGCCCATCCAAATGAACGTTGCCCGCACACTCCAGCGGCCTTTCAACCAACTTTGCAAGTCTGCGGCGTCAGAACCTCGGTGTTTCGTACAGCCCTGCTGACAAAGCCCAACTGGCTGATACCCGGCTTGAGTCATTCAAAAACGATATGGCCGCATGGTGCCGATCCGAAGTGCACAAATGTGCAGAAATCTGCTTTGAAATCCAAGGCTTGGACTCGAGAATTCCAGCTCTCGGCCGCCCTCTTTCCACTGCACCTCAAAAGAAAACGTGACTTCATGTCACTTAAGGAAAAAAACAAGAGTGACACGAATCGCCCCTGGCACCACCACTGCTCAGTTCAAGCACCAAGGAGGCTCCGTAGAAGCCCCCAAGCAGTGCCCGCGCTGCCCAAACATGGGGCTCCTGGACCAGGAGCAAAACCTCATGCTGACGCAAAATGAGCCAAATACTGAGCCAAAAGGCTCATGCCCCACCCGTGCAATGCTTACTTTGAACTGCAAGTGTTTTGAGGGAGCCACCAGCCGGTGCCGGTCCTGAATCAGTCACTAGCTCCCATGCACCAAATGCAACAAGGCACCGACTGCCTAAACAATAATGCCCCCAATTGACACCTCAACTTCCACGCCTCAATGCTCCGCTTCTCCAGTAAACCCGCCAATTCCAAACTTGAAATCACATCCTGGGCAAACCCTCCAAAGCAAGCAAGAAAAAAATCTTGGCCTACCATGGCCTACCTTGGGTCTTGCCAGAAAGCCCATTTGGCCCTAGTTGAGGTCTGGGCTGCATCTTCTGCGAAAGTGTCGGACAGCCATTTTTGGGCCACCCTCCGCTGTATCCAAAAGCTTTGGGTGAACCAAGGAAATAAACAAGCCAACGTGCCTGTCAAAGCACGGCCTGGTTCCAAGCCAAATGCGCTTGCCACAGGAGGAACCAAGATTCGGCTCAGAAACACAAATTCTTTGGCCTTGCCGCCATACCATAGCCGGCCATTGCATCACAAACTACGATTCCTGCTGACAAGAGCGAGAAGTGCCACAAGAATCCTCTTGAACATGTTGGAGATCAAAGTCCACGGCCCAACCCGCCTCTAAATTTCCCACGCAGCCCACCAAGCACCATACGGAAACCAACCGCATCCTGGAATTGAGAGATACAAAAACCAATCTGACAACCAAGCATTGAAAAGTCCCAATTGAGAAGTACAAAGCAAGCACTGTACAAATTCTGCACTTGTGTTCCCAGCATCTAGCAAATCAGAAAAATCACAAGGCTTTTCCACTTAGGACGCAATGATCACCAACTTGGTGACACAAGCCTTCAGTTGAGCAGAAGAAGGAGCTCGCAAGCGCAGCAAGGCATTGAGCCAGTGATTCTGGACGGGGCTCCTAAGCAAAAAGGTCGAGATAGCCACAGAAGTCCAAGCGACCCCCTTCAGCAACTGGAAGGTATGCAGTTTTGAACTCCAGTCTCCTGAACCCACTGCGGCGTGCAGAAACAGGAAGTTGGGGAGTCATGGTGGCCTGGTCGTGTTGCTCGTCAGCACTGCACCTGGAGGCAGGCGCTGCATGGTATATAAGTCCAATGATCCTCTACCATCTTCTGTCTCAGACTGTGGCAAAACAAAGTGCACGCCGCTTGTGGAGTTGCAGCAGACCCAACCTCCGAGCAAAATCAAACAACAGCAGATTTTGGAAGGCAGGTTCGGAAGGTGCCGGAGAGAAGCAAGCTCACAACTTCCATGATAGGCTATGTAATATAAGACTCTGATAGATCAATCTACTTGGCACAATTGTAGGCGATGCCGATTTCTTGTTTGAAAGTGAGACAAAACAGTGGGTGATGATCTCAGGCACCCTCAACAAAGGGAAGGATGGAACCCTTGTAAGGCCAATTTGCCTTTGCCCCATGCCTGCGCTTCCTCACTCGAATACCACTACCACGACCACCACCACCACCACCACGACGTCGACGACGACGACTACTACTACAACTGCCACTACGACTACCACTACCACCAGTACCACGAGGACTACTACTACTACCACGACGTCGACGACGACGTCGACGACGACTACTACTACTACCAGGACCACTACCACCACCACTACCACGAAGACTACTACTACTATACTACTACTGCTACTACTACTCCTACTACTACTACTACTCCTACTCCTACTCCTACTCCTACTCCTACTCCTACTACTCCTACTACTCCTACTACTCCTGCTACTACTACTAAAAATACTACTACTACTACT